TTGAGTTTTCTTGAAATAATTAAGAGAAATCTCAATTTGACCTAACTGTCATAACATGCACCAAGTTCCTTCCTTATATCATCTAGCTCCACCTTAGTGCGTTCATCCATTTAGAGACTCTAAACCTTTTTACGCAAAATGGTCTGACGCTAGTGCTTATTGTAACTACCTGTGATACCCCTAACTTTTATAAGAGGATAGTTGGGCAAATCCTTAGGTGAGCTTTTGACATCTATTATTCTTGATTTGGTTTATTAATTATAAACCATTCCATGTATTCTTTTATCCTTTGTGGATGCCATCTTGGTTGGCTGTCATTGAAAATTTTTTTTTTCTAAGTTTGAAAGAAGTCAAAATATGTGATTTTTTAAAATAATCTAATGGACATAAAAAATAACAGTACTGGTTCATTTGGTATTGATATTATCTAAAATGATTTTTTCATAATTTTGAAAGTACGTTTGTTATGATAAGTGAGATGCTAAAATTTAATTTCAGTTGAACTTCTTTGATTTTGTTCTTGAAGCCAAAATTTAGATTTTGATTCTTTTAAAATTAGATTTTTTTATATTTTTATTGAATCCAAATGAAGGGAGGGGTGTTTGCTTATTTACATTAAATACCTTAAGGAAATAGAGAGTAAAAAGGAAAGAAATAAAAATGAGAACATTTACTTAAATGGTATTAAATGTAAACAAGTTTAATAGGCTTTCCTTGGCATCTTGGAGTGTCACACCCCATTTTATGGTGGAGCATGATCGGTGCATGAACTTAGACGGGTATAACCTGCTAAGTCCAAATAAGTCTCTTTAACGTTCATCATTAAACATTCATTAATGTGGAAACACATCAAACATCCATAAGCATACAATATCAACTCATGCATACCATCATACGCAACATTACACATATATGAAACTTCTTAACCTATTTGTGTAAGTGCAACATTTCATATATCATCAGAGTGCCATAATTCTAGTACACCATAACATTTACATGTCTTGACACCATCGGGTATCCATATGGGCTCTTGAGCCATTTTATGCATTTAACATAACACTCATATTATAATATACCCAAACTATTGGCTACATTATTGTAACATACTCATAATCCATAAAACATGTTCATAGCCTATAAACAAAAACATAACATAGATTAACTCCTTAACGGAATATGACTCGACTTGTTAGGCATCAAGAGGCTGCTAGACACCTACCAATGAGGAATGAACGGATCATCTCTCTGTGACATTGGTTTCTAGCAAAAGAGCTATCACTGATCTACAACAAAAATAGTGAGGGAAAATAAGGTGTTAGTCACAAAGACTCCGTGAATGGATATGGATAAGGGGACAAGCCAAGGGATATGAGTTTTTTGTAACCATGCAATTATAGATACATATGATTCACAAATCCTTTCACATTACCATGAAACATAGCATTTAATCATCCTTTAAGTAACATTGCACAGAATACATCTTTGCATAATTAATTAGAAATCATTTAATCACGAAAACCTCTCTAAATTCACTTGAGAAGCCAATTCTACAACAATTCTTTCAATACATTTTGAAATGTATCAATACATGTAAGGAATCTATTGATACCCTTGGTAATGTATTGATACATTTCACATAGAATGCTTCTTGTAGCATTTTGTTGAAAATATATCGATACATACTTTAAATGTATCGATACTTTTGCCATAGAATCCAACTTTCTGGGCATTTTCTTAAATCTAACTCATTCATAAGTCTTTTTAGCATTGAGGGATCATTCCCTAAGCTAAGGATTTGTCTAGCCAAGCTAATATCACCATCATTAATACTCATGTAATCATAAAAATGGCATTTAAGCTTAAATCATGAGGCAATATTCATTCAATCATTTCTCTAACTTATTAATCTCATTCGTCATAACATTCTAACTATGAGTGGGTCTGTTCCATTTTGATGAATAGTGATTTAACCCCCACCATTTTAGGTTCCTAATGCACTCTCGTGAATGGCACATCGGCCTCATCCACGATCTATCTAGTGGTTCCACCTCATTCAGGTGGCTAATGGACAAAGTCCTGACTATTGTCTAGTTCACCTCGAGTGAACAATCATCAAAGTTGCGTGAATGGCACTTCGACCTCACCCACGGTCATCATAAGATCTTTTTAGCTTAGGATCATTCTCATCCTTAGCTTGCATCATAAACATATAACATCTCCATAAATTATCATCATACTTAGCCCATAGTATATATGACTATCTCAGCACATACATTTCATGGCATATATTTCATAGTCTCGTAAATCACTTGCATGCTTCGCCCATAATGTATATGACCATCTCAACATATACATCTCATGGCATACATTTCATAGCCTCATAAATCACTTACATGCTTAGCCCATAGTGTATATAACTATTTCAACATTTACATCTCATGGCATACATTTCATAGCCTCATAAATCACTTACATACTTAGCCCAAAGTTTACATGATATACTTAACACATACATCTCATGGCATATATGTTACAATCTAAAAAATGGAACTCATGCATCCAACATTCTTATCACGCTACATCGTATCTAACATATGCATAATAACATTCATACATTAACCATAGAAATATCTTATACCCACACTAGCTTGAAGGCTAGAGTAATCAAGTGGACTGCAAACATAAAAAGGTTTGTCCCCCCTAGTTGAAAACTAATACATAGTAACATATTTACATACATAGTAGATTCGTAAACAATTTGGAAATCATTGTAGCACACATATCACAATCATTATCAAATCAAGTCATTGAACATATGCTTGAAAACTTCATGAAACCTTGTAGTTCAAATCCTTTAATTAACCATTTATGGAAATAAGTTTTCAACAAGCTTAAACAACCATTTTCAAAAAAAAAAAATGTCAAATTTACAT